TCTGATTAAAATGAGACGCCTCCCAGCTCTACACGACCTTTCTCTGCAAAGTTATAGAATTTACAAGAAAAGTCCTAAATGTTCATTCTCAGCTCAAGCTACAGAAATACCAACTTACTTTAGGACTTTTCTTGTAAATTCTATAACTTTGCAGAGAAAGGTCGTGTAGAGCTGGGAGGCGTCTCATTTTAATCAGAAATGTGCGCGCTACGAGTATGCATCATCAAGAAAGGTTTTAGTTACTTTTTAGAGTTTCTGAAAAACTGGTTTTCCAAAAAACCGGGTCTTCACGAGCCATGGAAAAAAATGCTTTATGCCAGCGTAATCAGCTCGTCGAGCTCTACAAATAAGGATATATCCTATTGAAAAGTAAGATTAACACTTGGGGATTTTTCCTCATGAGACGAAAAGTCGGAATTTTCTCGTAATTTTCAATTCTGTCAATCAGAATTCAACTTCGATATAATAAATATATCATATTCGGAATCAAAAACTGAGTCGACTGATGTATATTTCATTTTTTGGTTTAAAATCCCGACCTTTTCTCAACGTAAAAATTCGGCGCAAAATTAAACTAGTCGGATAGGATAGAATTACAGGTTAGTAGACTCAGTTTTCGATTTGGATTCCGGATATGATATTTCTGTTATATCGAAGTTGAATTCTGATTGAGAGAATTGAAAATTACGGGAGAATTCCGACTTTTAGTCTCAGATTTAGAAAAAATGAATTTTCTCAACAATCGAAGGGAATTTCAAGAAAAGCACGTTATACTTTTGTTGCCCGTGAAAAGACCAATCGAATGTGGTATAAATCAAAGTTCCGTACCTTACCAGAAAAACCTTAGATGACTTTCTCTTAGTGCTCTTTAAGCAACTGATTCAAAACATCAAAACGCAATGTTAACCCTTTCGGGACGGGATTATTTTTTTTCAAAAATTATAAGACATGGAAATTAATTGAATCGGTTAATTTTTCTATGTGTGAATCTACATATTGTGACGAACTCATCCATTTCTGTCTATTTTTGAAGAAACGTTCTGGAAGCATCATATATGTGTTTCCCGTCCCGAAAGGGTTAAATCAGTAAACGGATTCAGGCTGACTAAGACTGGTCTTAAAAATGAGAAAATCATTTAAAATCCCTAAGGGGATTAGTAGTGTACGCATCATTTACAAAGTTTGTTGACTGATAAATGCTTTTGGTTTATATTTTGGATATTTTTTTCAGGGACGCAGCAACGTTTTAATATCGAAAAGCAAGTATTTTTAGGAATAGAATAAGAAAAACTCTTAAAAGGAAGCAAGTGTTTGACTACTGCTTATAAAAAACTCCTTAAATTCGCAACATTCCCTTAGGATTACTCTTTGCCCAGTATTTAATTCTTTGTTTACCGACATAAGAGACGGAAGAAACGATTTTACAGAAAATTTATTGGTTTTTTTATGGCATGATTCTAAAGCATATCTTAAGAAAGTGGTGATTTGGTAAGATCATGGTATCTAATGTTTGTTTTTACGCAAAAGCATCTAAAAAAGCATCCATTATGAATAATTTTTACATTAGTTTTACTCAACGATAAGGCTCATGACGTATATATGTGCGTTGACAATAACCAAAGAGTTTAAACTGTATGTAACAAATGAGTAACATAGACAGATCGGTATTTCAGCTAAAAATATGGCATAGATTATTAAATCAGTGTTTATAAATGGGTTTATTATTATAGAAGCGTTTGACTGATTTCTTGAATTCTGTTATGTACAGTTTTGATGGTACAACAAATATGATAAATGTTAGCATCGGTGGAATGAATGAGATATAATAACCAATTAGATAGAGTCAAGAATCTAGACTTAATTTCATGCATCCAGACAAGAATACAATAATCAGGCGAGTAATAGCCAACACAACGAGAACAAGTAATGAAATTAATAAATGTCTGTGTTGTTGGAGTTGCTCGCGTAAAAAATGCTTGTAAGATTAAGTTTTCTGAGCATTTGAACGAGCATGAGCTGCAATAATGATAATAAATAGTGTCGAAATAAAATTAATTAAGAATGGAACAGAAAAAGCAATTATATTCACAATCCCATCAAAAATTTATAAAAATGACGGATATTTAGTAACACACCAAGTGCGTTGTTCGTCTTTGTCATCGATCAAACGACGATATATTGGATCATGAATATGTGTGCAATAGTAAAAAGAAAGACAACAAGAAGTATCCGTTTTGCAATTTGTTTGCTCTTGAATTTGTCAAAATAAACGGCTCGTGAAATATTCATTGTTCGTTCGATACTCACGCAGGCACGAAACCAATCTCCACTAACCAGAAGAACTCGAACAAGAAGATCCATCATAACACATTGCACTTCTATAAATAAACGAGTCTTGATCGAGCCCGTTTGTGACGTAAGAAAAAGTCAGAATTTAACTGTTAATACACATATCATAATTAAACCAATGATCAAAGATGTAAATATATAGATACCGCAACCGACATCACGAGTATTTTTCATTTGAAAGGTCAAAAATGTGCAAAAGTTATTGATTAAGCCTAGAACGAGTATAATTGTGATGAGTGCTATAGCAAATTTAACAATGTTTGATTGCTTTGGGATTCCAGTATTTGGACTAATTCGCTAACCTAGAATAATATCTGACAGAAGAGTCGATCCAAAGTAGCATGGATAACAGGAACAAATTGCCAATGTTGGACATATTCTATCATCTAGAAAGCATTTACCTCCATTTCCACATAAGTTATATCCATCACAGTTATGACTAACATTGTGATCAAACCGAAAACAGGTCGCTCGCCGATAGCGACCACACAAACAGAAATGAATCGAATCATAAAAGCAAACTAGTTCCAGTTGTTTTGGACATGGAATATGATACAATTTAATACGTCGTAATAATTCTTGTCGAACAACCGTCTCATTCAATAATTCATTAACTGATGCACATCGATGAGAAGGAATTATTTCAGTAGAAATATCAGATGAAACAATGTCTTGTTGTTGAAGAAGAATTAAGTAATAGTTTAGTAATAGTCGAAAATCGATTTCAAGCGTTACACGTGCATAGCGATATTAATGTGATTGCGAATGAAGCCAATGATTATCGACACGAATGTTTGGCTGAAGAAGAACTGATTGAAAATCTCAAGCAAGTCATTCATCGCTTTATGACTCGTACTGATCGTCGATATGCATATAATACACGAATGTCTTGGTCCACTGATCATGGTCACTACAATGTAGTTCTTTCCATCGATCAATCTGTTCCTCGAAAATAAATTGACTATCGAAAGATGCTGGAATCTGTTTGTTTACTGAGCTATTTTTGAAAATAAATCAAAACAAAAGATCCAGTATGTTATTCAGGGGGGAACAGCTGATTTTCGTCGATTTTCACTGATTTTTTCTGATTCTTTAGCGACTTTTTGCGATTTCTAACGACTTTTAGAAATATTTTAGGATTTTAGCGATTTTTAGACCTCACAATTTTTCGTGGTTGAGTGTGGCACTGAATTTACTATTCCCTTAGCTGTGGCAAGCTCGAAAATGAATGGAAACATATGCTATCGGCCACACTAAGTCTCGCTGCAGCATTTGTATTCCGAAAAAAGTTCAAAAACCTAGTGAAAATCTATATTAGATGAAATCACGCATTTTTGCCTATTTTCGCGTAAAAGCAGAAAATTTATAACTCAGTCACAACCGATCCAGACTATCTCAGAATATCAATATATACCCTGTTTCATCGGCACCACATCATAGAATTTAAGTTTATTTTTATAATTAATGCTCTTGCAAGAAATCTTCTGCCGAACATATGGCTTCTGGAATCTCTGAAAAGCACTGCCGCAGTGCAAACAAGGCCAGCATCAAATTGCCCCAGTGGCTGGGGCAGTTTGCTGGCTTTCTGATTTTCACAGTAGGGACACGTTGATTCCTCTCCTCTTACCTGGCACATCTTTTATCCACATGAAAATAGAGAAAATTTTCCAGCTAATAAGAAGATCCTAAATGTCACTGGTAGTCATATTCTGACTCTTTGTAGCCGTTACCTAAAGGGACCTACTTTCCATTGTTTAGTTCATGGAAAATCCGCGCATGAAAATTTGATCATCTGAAAAAGCGTGATTCCGTAACGACAATACTTTAGATTTGTTAACCTGTTCTTATTGAATTAAAGAGGGGTGAGGGTGAGGGTGAGAATATTTTGAGAAAAGAATCGGAAAAAATGCTAAAAATATATTTTTGAAAAATGTTGGGTTATAACCAATAAGATCCTTACAAAGTACTAAATGTATATAAAAATGTGGAAATGATCCAATAACAGATAAATGTTTTAAATTTTCTAAGAATTTCAAAATATATCCATACACATCTGTCGTATAATGTTCACATGATATTTCATTAGAATTCTTTTCGCATACAGAAATAAGATCTTTAATTTGTTGTTGAAAAATACATCGAAATGATGATTCAACTAAACAAAACATAAATAGATATTCTCAAGTCTATCTATACAACAGTTTAGAAATTTAAATCTTTACTCTGTGAAGTCCGTCGAATTATTTACCTGTAAAATAACGTGAAACCATTTTGCCGTTAAAATTGAAGAGTTTAAGTTCAGTAGATTAGGATAATCGGCAGCAAGAAGAATATGTTCCATAGATATTGAATCAAGAATAAGAGATTTAACATTAGAATCAATTCTTGGCAATATTGAAATGCAGAATCGATCAACTATTGGAACAGCAATCGAAAAAAGTATTTGAAGTTGATGTTGTTAATACAAAATTAAAAGTATTAGTAAAAGTATTTTCAATATGAAAAAAAAGTCTCATGCGTTCTCTGTGAACAAAGTTATAGATTTTCTTTTAAAAAGTAAGATTGATAAAGATCTTTTTTTCAAATATCCTCTAATCTAATAATTAGTTAACTATTTACCTGAGAAAAAATGTCTTCCATCAAAATTTGTTTCAGATGTATTTGTTAAACCTAATCGATGTATATTAACAATCATTGCTTTTACACGATTTTATTAGCATCATTTACTACTAATGTACCACTATTTCTCATTAATGCATCTAATTTTAAATCTTTTACAAACAGAATTTTTATTTATAAAAACTTTCTTTCTACCAATATACGTTGCTTCTCCACCCGGAGCTGTACATGTATCTAAAATTCTTTCATTAGGTTGAGGTGTTAATGCCATAACAGGTAAAAAACTTCAAACACATTGTAACATATAATTTTCAATAAGATATTAAGGTGTTGCACCAATAGATTGACTATTATATATAACAAGACCAACTTTAGTCTACTTATTAAGTGGATCAACATTAACATCACTATTAATATGTGCTTGAGCAAGATCTCGACGAAATGTTTTAATGTATTTGTTCCAATAGTAACTGCTAATTGAACTTTCATTAGCTTCCGAAAAATCGATTATCTATAAATTAAATTGAATTTGGAAAAAAGAATTTTTTTTGACTTTAGCGGAAATAAATCAATAATTTTATTGATTAATAATTACATAAATCTTGTTTAAGTAAATTAAGATATTCTTTTCTTGATCTGAAAAAAAAATTTATTTATTTACCAATTTAATTCTCGTTTATTTTTAAAATCATTTAAAATATTAATTCCTATACGAATACGATACATTAATAATTGTAAATCAGCTTGTGGAGCTTAACAAAAGAATTTTTTTAATGAAATTATTGTTTTTTTTCATTAACCTTCTTTTGTTATTTGTTGTCCACTAGGAAATTGAACTTTTATTTATCGTTGAATATTAGTTAATAATTCTTGTTCTGAACATTCTTTTGTTTGACGTTGTTTTTCACGTCATGTTTTAGATTTTTTTCAATATCAAGCTAATTTAATTAAAAATATATTTAAACGAAAAAAGGAAACGTTTATTTAACGAAATTTAGTTTCATCATCTTCTTCTTCACTTGTACTTTTAATATCACTAAAATCATTATCCTATAGAATATCTTCATCCATTGATTCATTTGTTTCATCATCATCACATAATTTCTAAAAATAAAAATTTGCAAATTATTCGAAGAAATATGGTTTTTATACTTTAGTTTTTTTGGTTTAAGTCATTGTTGATTTTCATTAGTATATCCATTCTTGTGTTCATCATCATCATTTTTAATAGATTTACCATCTGATTAACGTTTTTTTATTACTGTAATTTCATAAATATATACAATCAGTTAATAAAGTATTCGGACACCGAGATGGATTTTTTGTATTTCTTGATGTGCGAAGCAAAAGCAAGGGATATCACTTTTCTTTTTTCACTAGGAGACAGTGTTTAATAGGGTCCGACTCGCGTCGAGTCTGATCGGGTCCCAAAAAGTCGACCGATTCCAAACTTCACATGAGACAAACAGCAATTCTAGATGAAATAATGATTTCTTTATTTGAAATATTGAGAGAATTTGTACAGATTTACTGAAAAGATTGTTGATATAAAACTTAAAAGTAGAACAATATAGAGTTCAAACATCTCAGTTTATGCACAATTTCTTCCTCTATCCTATTCTTTACAAAGATTTGCCCTACAGTAACTTTTCATATGAAAATAGTTATGACCTATTTCATGGAGTTTCGACCACGAAAACACATGAGTTCTTTGAATCGACTGAAAGTTATGCTATCTTATAAAGCTCGATGAGTTTTATTTACAGTAAAAAAGTCAGCTTAGAATACCGTTCGTTTAGGAAGATATGGGACCCACAACTTTATCTGTCCACACGTTTCATTATTATATAGACGAAAATGAATTCCAATTATATATCTTGTTCTCCAAGAGTTGACGCATTTGATCATATGTTGATATATCTCGAATCAATATAATAAAATAAGATATATTACGATAATAAATAGTTTGGGAAAATTTTTGATAAAAAATAGATTTGTAGTGCTAATTAAGTCAATGTGTATTTCTAATTTATAGTGTTTATTAAAATCTGAGTCTGTGGAAAAATTAAAACTTCCTAGACCCTCTACAAGGATATATGTCATATAAGATTAACGTCAGTAATATTGTTTTGATAATATCTTAAAGCGTATCAAATCTTATGATTTTAAACTTTACATTATTATTTTGTTAAACGACAGGGTCTATATTTATTTTAATATGTACATATATATACTAATCCCTACATATGAACAAAGTATGAATGCAAACGGAGCGGATCACTTGGGAATGTTCCCTCGTAAGCAAAAATACTGAGCGCGCAATAAAAAATATACTGACGAGGAAACATACCGAGGTGTTTAAGCCGTTTAGACTCCATCTTTTGGCGATAGGTAGACCTCGATGAGGTGTGAAAAACTCCAAAAGGATACGTGCGCTTAGGCCTTCCCTCCAGAGTTATAGCCATTTTAGTAGACAAATTTTAGCTTGTAGCTGGGTATGTAATAATTACTTCTTTGGATGTTAAACCTTTTGATCGCATCTTCTTCTATGATTAGATCAATCGTTATCTTTCTCCTCATCATCTTTCATCAGAGAAATATTCCTCTGATATTGGTTCATGTCGCGATTGACAAAAGCTCATAATTTCCGTAATAGGAAGACGTTGATGTTGTAGCCACATATTTTCAACAAAAACTATGTAGGAAATCCCACGGACAAATATAAACATCTACGCAAAACTATCATTCTTTAATTGAAAACGACTGTAGAAAAACAGTATACTTCTTCAAAAATTTTCCTATCATTTTTCTGTTGTGCCAGTATATCATCTGGAAAAAACTACTTC